CTTTGTGGGTGCAGGGTTGTGACCCGACGGACTGTAGCATTCTGTGGGTGATGAGAGTCCCATCTCCTCAGCCATGCATCATTCACCTTCAAACACTCTTGAGTTGTTTTGAAATGTGTAATTAGTTTTGCAGGCTACAGTAACCCTGTTGTGATGTATAACAGAATTTATGGGTCTGGGCACCGTTATCCATCCTGAGCTTTCTTTTTTATACTGTGAAACCACTCATATTCAAGGACCTATAGAATGTATACATGCATTTGAAGGATAATCATAAACCACAGAGACTTAAAAATGGAGCACTGCATGCAAGTGTGGTGGTGACGTCTGTAATCCCAGCTACATGGGAGGCAGTGGTAGAGAATGATGGTCTGAGGCCAGGTCAGGCAAAAGCAAGATCCTACCTGAAAAATAAATTAGAGCAAAGAGGGAGTGTGGCTGAAGTGGTAGAGAGCTTGTCTGCAAGCATAGCGTCCTTAGTTCAAACCCCAATTCCACCAAAAACATATGACTGAAAGCTTGAAAGCCCTGTGTTGTCCAACCTGATCACATCCACCCCCAGGTAACTTCTTCCCTAATACCCACTAGTGGTTAGTGATGCTAATTCTTAGTTATTAGTGCTATCATCGCAATTCATTCTCTTGCTTTAATATATAGTTTTCCAGTTAGAATGAAGCAATACATTTAGGAACAAATGCCTAACTGTTCTGACCGTGATGTGACTGGAATTACACGGCTCTATGATCGTGCTGTCATTTGAGTCTCATTCAGCATTATGTTTAAGAACTCAACTATGTTGATGTATATAGCTTAAAGTTCATTCATTTCAAAACGGTAGCATTTTCCAATATGTAAGTGTTTTCATCGAGACCCTATTTCCCTGATTGGATGTTGCAGCTGTCTCCAGTTTGTAGCTATTACACCCACTGCTTATAATGGCCACTCCTATCTCTGATGCCCAGGTCAAAGAACTTCTCTAAGATTATAGACCCAGGAAGGGAATCTGCCCGAGCAGCAGGACACGTGAAGTGTGTGTTTATGCTCTCTGCACAGCTCAATACTGAGAGTTCTGCTCTCCACCTTTTGCCAGCACTTGTTGCTGTCAGATAGTTTGCTAAACGGAGAGGTGTGTGGTGGCACTTCATTGTACATTTTCCTGAAAACCAAAGAGGCTGAGCATCTTGGGGTTTTTCTGACTACTCATATGAAAAGCATTTTCTTCTGATAGGCTATTCTAAATGCCATACTTTAAAGAACATTACCAAGTCTAAAAAATTGTGCTCTACCTTAAGGAGCTTCTTGTCTCTAGACAGGGGCAAGACATTCAAAATACTGAGACCAGTTTGGCATCACTCACAGAATAGAATCGTCTTCTTAAGACAATAAGTAACTGAGACTGAGTCGTATGTTGTGAACCATTTGTATAAACAGAGAAAGACAGCACGTGGCAGAGGACTCATGCTTGGTCGCTACTTATTTTATTTCAGATTCTAAATGCAATGCATGAAAAAAAATCAAGTAGCAGAGAAATATACAGAGGAGAAAGTAGTTATTTTTATTCCTGAGATAAAGGTCTATTAGCAGTTTATTCCGTAACACCAGCATTTGTTTTTAAATAGCATTTAGATGATTAAGACAAACTGTTTAAAAATGAAGGAAGGAGAAAGAAGAAAAAGGCGTATTAAAAAGACTTCCACCTTGTGGGGGGAGGTTGGCTTTGTCCAGGGCTATACTCTGCTGAGAGGTCCATGGAGGGAGGGGGTCTCTCCTTTCTTATGAGGAACTGTGGTCTCTGTATAATAAGAGTCTGTTGTGTTCAGAGTCAAAAGAATGGCTCAGATCAAGGAGATCAAAGTAAAGAACATCTATACCAAGGTCCAGAGGTTCCCTGAGGATCAGTGGTACAGGAGCTCTCCCAGGAAAGGTTCACTCATTCTGGGGAGGAGCACATATTTTAAAGAAGTTTTCCTAATACTCCTGAAGATGCCTGTTTTTCTTGACTTTAATAATGGGAAGCTATTTGCAGTGGAGCTGGTATAAAGCTACAGGCAGAAGAAACACCATCTCTGGGGAGGCCAGGGATGGAACGGAAGCAGGACCTCCTTCAAAGGAGACAGGGATCTAATTCCCTAGAGAAGGCAGGTGCCACAGGACACTCTGCAGTGGAAAGCCTGACTGGGTCAATAAAATCCTACAGGAATTAACTAAAGATGACTCCAGTCTGCTGCCATAAAGTCAGGGACCCTGTTCTACACATGCTGACATTGTGATTCACTGAATGAATGTGTGCATTTCCTGTTGGCTTCGTTTCTGGTATACACTGGAATCAGGGAAAGGACCAGGAAACACAGTGAGAGTACTAGTCAGTTATGAAGAAGAATTACATTACATCATTTGCAGAAGAACGTTAAAACATAGACACCATGCATTTTCTCTCGTGGACTCTAGATCTGCAATAAACAAAGTGACAGGAGTCTACAAGGGGGAAAGGCATGGGGATGGTAAAAATGATTGAAGTACATTGCATAATATAAGAAAGCATCAGTATTTGTAAAATAATGTAAAAAGAAACAATATTTTGGACTTCTGCCCACTGGAAACAGCAGGCAGGAAGAGAACCACAGGCTCCTGGCTGAGGCACCCTGGGTGAGTTTCGAAAAAGAAAAGAAGCATACCTGATTCTGACTAGTCTTTTCATCACAAGTGAGCTTATGAATCATAATTGAGTTGGAAAATGTGATGGCTTTCTGAGTGTTTCAGAAGTCACATAGCAGTAGACCTGCCTGTGGTGATTCTGAAGTTCAGTCAAGTATTGAATTCCTCAGAGAGCAGGCAGAAACCAAAGTTGACACTTTGTTGATGTGCCTGCCTTGATATGGAGAACTAAGAGCCAGACCTTTTCATTTTCTTTTTCAGATCTTTTCCTAATAACTACTGGGACAAGTTTGTGAAGAGAAAGGTATGCCTGTGAGTGGAATGAGTTCTGTGTTTCCTGCTCTCCACACACACACTAAGTGTGGTGTCACTGTTAGGATGGTGCCTGCAGGAGAGGAAGGCATACGGCTGTCTGTGCACATCTGTGGGTTTCCGACTCCATTCTCATTCTTACAGAACAAGTTTTCCTCCACGTCGGGCTTTTCTTCCCCCCCCCCCCCCGAAAGACACCAGTTTAAAAAGCAGCTGTCACTGAGTTGTCTTGATCGTGTCAGTTTTCTCTGGAGGGTGATTTTCTCTTTCCTTGCTGCATTTTGAATTATGTGTTAGCCCCTTGGAAAAGCCCAGAGTGCAGCAACACTCAGAAGATCTTGAAGCTAGAAAATACGTGGATGTGGCATGTGGCTTTCTTCACCCTGTCCTCTCTGCTTCAGGTGATCAACAAGTATGGAGACCTGTATGGAGCAGAGCGTATCGCTGAACTCCTGGGTTTGGACAAAAACGCCCTTGACTTCAGCCCAGTGGAGGAGACCAAGCCGAGGCGGCCTCTCTGGTGTCATGGTACAGAGTTTAGAATTAAAATCCAGTGTTGACGATAGGTCCTTTGTTTTTCCATTCCTCTCCAGCAATGCTAGAGGGAAAAATCGCAAGCGTGTCTGTTTTCTGACTCTGGTATGACACGGGCGTCTCATCCAGGTCCTAACATATTGGGAGAGGACCACTTTAAATAATTTGGAGACCAATGTTTATGCCCAAAAGAGCTGGAAGAGAAAGACTAAGAAGATTTCAGGATGTGTAATTCCATTCTCTCTGGGGAAACCTGTATAACTTGATAAAGTTTAGACCTGTATTTAGGTTATTAAACCTGAAAGAAAAAAACTTAATTTCCCCCTTATAAAGCACTTAACAAAATCTTCACACTTATGAGTTATGAAATCATTCACTCCTCTTCAGGCTAAGTTCCATCGACATGAAGCACCATATCTGGAAGCTGGGGTTGTTTTTACTGACAATGTAAGTATTGAACCTGGAAAGACAAGTTTCTGTGCCCCAGGTTCAGGGGTGGTGTGGGTGCTCAGGGAAACAAGCCGTGGGAGATGACCAGGAAAGTTGAGGACCCAGAGTCTTAGCATGTGGGGAACACTCCTCCCTGTACAGTCAGGTATGGCAGATGGGCTCATTGAACTTCAGAACCTCAATCCCCTCGAGCCTCATTTTGTTCCCCAAACAAGGAAGAATGTCTGAATGAGTAGGTCATCCAGCACAAATGCCTGAAAAGGTGCTAACTTTTTCCATTTCCAGTCCTTTCTCTACCTTGCCTGGTACACGACCATGTCAGTCCTGGGTCACTACAACAACTTCTTCTTTGCTGCACATCTGTTGGACATTGCAATGGGCTTCAAGACACTGAGGACCATCCTGTCATCTGTAACTCACAATGGCAAACAGGTATTGGGATCACACCGTCTGAAGGAGAATGGACTGGAACAAACAGTAGGCTGTGTACCAGTGTGTTGGGAAGGAAAGCCTTGTAATGTATAAAGCACCTTTCTTGGACAAACAATTAAATTCATAGATCAACTGTTTTTACAAAACATGTAGCCAATTAACGATCCAACTGGAGTCATCATGTCAGAGGCCTAAGACACAGAGATCCTTAACATTTTTATCAGCCAAATGTGGCGAGGTGATGGACAAATCAGAATCAACTTACAGATCTGGAAAAGGTCTTCCCCTTCCTCCCTGGGAGTAAGCAAGACATGCATGGCTAGAAGACTCCCTAGATACTTTTAAGTTACTAATTAAGGACTAATGAGTTAAAATATATACTTTGTATACCTGGTTTTATATTATGAACCACACATATATGTACATATTAGCTGTAACAGTTACAGTTAATCAGGGAATTGACTGACTATATGTGAGCTGAATAGCGATGAGACTGGATATAGCAACAACTGTAAGCCATATTAAAATCACCTAATGGCTTCTTGCCTACAAATTCAAACTGTCAGCATGTCTTTCCTCATTAAGCACTATCAACAAAGAATGAGACATACTCCCTCACACCTCTATACCTCTGTATGAGAAAGAAGAAAGTGCAATGTGCCCAGTGCAAGCTTTACCTCAGGCACCATGAGCCTGGCCACGCCCCTGTAAGGGAGATGTTAGGCAGTGTCTCAGAAGTGGGGCTTGGAGAGGCCTGCTCCCCAGGACCACACAGCTGCTAAGTGGCAGAGCTTAGATTCAACCCTGTTGCTTTCCTTTGCTGCAAAGACCAAGAACTGCTTTCTGTGAGCTCTGCTACACAAGTTTTGAGTAACTATTGTCCCTGCTTCAGAGGCCATTAAATACATCTTTCCTGGTACTTATGTAACACTCCTACCCATGCCCCTTCATGTGGCTCAGTGTCTAGTCCCTGGTGTGGGCCAGGTCCCCAGCCTCCTCATGCATGCCACTGGACCTCATGCAGCCTGGAGGTAAACCTGTCCCCACAGAAGCTACAGCATGATTCTGAGTCATGAAGACACTTAGCTCAGCCATCATCATTCTTACAGTGACTTCAAAGCTATGACAGTTACCTAGTTCATGGTTACTTATGAACAGTGTGATGCAGACACCAGCCTGAGGAAACTTGGTACTTTTTAGAAGTAGCATTAGAGTAGAAGCTGCACTGATCAACCTCGGGTAACGGCTACAAAGGTAACTTCTCTTTGTAGTTCATACATACCCTGTGCCCCCATTACAACTTAACCACGTCTTTGACAGCCCCAGGGTGCTGGGATGTGGCTCAATGGTGCGGTACTTACAAAAAGTTCTGTCTCCAAACATACTCCCATCTTGGTGTACTGGTGGTTGGGGCTTCAGCATATGAACTTGGAGGGAGGAGGGGTTCTGCTTATGGTACCCTGTCATTACTCTTTCTCCCAGCTGCCTCTTCATCTGCCTGGCTGTCCTTCTTAGCCTGCAGTACAATAGCCTTCATTGCCAGCATCTTGTGGGCCCCATGGTTTTAGTCTCCACGAACCCTCCAGGTTGAACTCCCTCCCTGTCCTCTTGCCCACAGTTGGTTCTGACTGTTGGCCTCCTGGCTGTAGTGGTTTATCTCTACACTGTGGTGGCTTTCAACTTCTTCCGCAAGTTCTACAACAAAAGTGAAGACGACGACGAGCCTGACATGAAATGTGACGACATGATGACCGTGAGAACCCAGTCCCAGTAAAAAGCTGTGTGGGGTGGGCAAGGCTGACTGAGAGTAGCTGTGCAGTTCATGTCCGGGGAAAGATGGAATTTGTTACCAGTGTCGAAGCCTAGTGGGAAGGGATGCACACCATGGTGTGGGGTCACCGCCCACCCACTTTATCTGTAGTAAAGATGAGGTACCTGGGTATGAGCCACGTCTGAATTTGATAGACATCTAACTTTGATTCTCCTGAGAACTGGAGCAAAGTTGGCTTATTTCCATCACCAGTGGGGTTCTTTAAGAACAGATAATGAGAGCTGATGAAGGTGATGCCAGCAGGATTAGGGGTGTGTGTGTCTTAACTGTCAGGCCAAGCCCTGGTGGGAAAGAAAGGCATGGCTCAGGGTGACCCAGCACCACTACAGCAGCTTTTGTGAAGTTATCATGACCGACTTCAGGAAAAGGATGTGTGACAGACAGGTCTGTGAGCATCCCTCTATAAACCAGGTGACAAGTCCTGGCTAAAACCTCTCCTTATGCCTTCATGGGATAAGTGCCCTCAGGAAACAGAGATGCTGGTCGCCAGTGCTCCAGTGTGACTCCTACCTGGTCAGGCCACCCCTGGTTTGGGATTTGCCTTTGAGAGTCCACCTTTTGCCTGAGCCAAACCCAGCCAGTCAGGAGGCTGAGCTAAGGGCACCTTTTTGGTAAACTAGTGCCCGGTTGCCCATGTACAAGACAAAGTCTGCTACAGGATGAGCATCCCTTATCCAAAGTCCTCTGGACCAGAATTGTTTTGGAATGTTACATATGTCTAATGAGCTATCTTCTGGATAGGACCTGAATCTAAAACATGAACTTCATCTTTTTTTCTTGTGGTACTGGGTTTGAACTCCCAACCTCATGTTTGCTAAGCAGGTGTTCTACCACTTGAGCCACTCCACCAGCCCTAAAATTCATGTTTCACGCACACCTTATACCATGCCCTGAAAGTATTTTACATCTTATTTCTGACTGACCCAAGTATAGGATTCTCCACTGGTGCTTCATGTCAGCACTCTGGATTTCTGATTAGGGATCAGAAATCAACCTGTACTGCACATGCTACAGAAGTCTCTGCCTTCCAAGGAAGGCAGGAGAGGTAGAAAGGACCTTTCTCAGAGTTTATGGCACAGCTTGGAATCAAGCTGGTTCTCCTGAAACCAGATGAGGAAAATGTAGAATCCGGCATGTGCCACACTACACAGGGCTTCAACATCTTTTGGCTTAGACACAGCTGAGATGAATTCTGCTGTCGGTATCTGACACTCCAATACAAAAATTTACCAATCATCCTCCCATCTTTGTAAAAGCCAGGCTGAGCAGGGTGCAGTGCACACATGGACCTTCCCCTGGGTCACCACTGTTTCTCCCCCTAGTGTTACCTTTTCCACATGTACGTGGGGGTGAGAGCGGGGGGCGGCATTGGCGATGAGATTGAAGACCCCGCTGGAGATCCGTATGAGATGTACCGCATTGTCTTCGACATCACCTTTTTCTTCTTTGTCATTGTCATCCTGCTGGCCATCATCCAAGGTATGGGTGACAGTTATGCTAAGTATGAACAAGAGTTCATAAACCTCTTTTATAAAGAAGTTTGTGAATTCATGTACTTGTTGATTGAGCACCTACTGTATACAAGGCCTTTACTGTATTATAGAGCCAGATACACCCAGACACTGTTACAAGAAGCTTGGAAACCTCCACAGGACTCCCTTCTGTTCCCCTCTCTGAATTCCTCATGGCTCTGCTTTCTACAGGGCTGGGGCAGGTCTCCCGTCTTTGTCCTCCCAGGCAGTGAGGAAGGGAAGGAGCAGAGAGGAGCTCTGAGAACGTGACATGTTTTATCACCATTTGGGGGAAGACAGGGTGCTGACAGTTTAGCAACAGCTTGTCAGGAATTGGAGAAAGAAAGATGAATTTAGTTGGAGTCAGAGGCGGCTCAGACGCAAAGACATGGAGCAAAGCAGTGTCTGAAGGTCAGAAGAGAAGAGCAAACTGCAGCGCAAAATAGCAGGAGGTGCCAGTAGATAATTGCCCTGAAGTTGAAGTAAGAGCAGCAAGGATTAATGCCTGACCAGGATGCAGGACTTGAAAACACACTGATTTTTTAAAAATTTTTCCTTTAATTGAATAGTACAGCTGATAATTCACTTTTTAAACAAAACAAAATGGTTTCTGCCTCTCCCCAGAGGCCACTATGCAGATTAAGGTGTTTCATCTGTATTTAAAATTCCAGGTCTTATTATTGATGCTTTTGGAGAGCTAAGAGACCAGCAGGAACAAGTACGAGAAGATATGGAGGTAATGATGTTCTTTCTACTCATTCCAACCTTACTGTTTGTGGACTTCTTAAACAATATGTATGGCTCTCTGTTAGGATCGCCACTAGACAAAACTTCAAGTAAAGCTTGTTTTTCATGCCTGCCATCTCCCCTGCCCCCTCCCTATGCTGTGGGTGGAGAGAGCCATGTCATCAGCCAACCAGGAGCAAGGCAGGTGGCTCTAGGGAGTGAATGACTGACAGCCAAAAGCATTAAGAGGAAAAGTACTTTTCACTGTTGTGCAACTGAACAGACTTTCCCCGCTGCCTGCAGTGTTGTACCTACTAGGGCTGCTTCCAGCTCATGTTATTTCCCCTAGACTAAGTGCTTCATCTGTGGCATTGGCAACGACTACTTTGATACAATTCCTCACGGGTTTGAAACGCACACGCTGCAGGAGCACAACTTAGCCAACTACTTGTGAGTACAGTTGGGGAGGGAAGCGGTGGGGCGGGGATGGGTGTTTAGGCTGAAAAAACCACGTCACCATGTTTGGCCTCTGTTGATGGCCACGTCTTCCTTTCTGTCAATCAGCAAAGAGCGTCAGGTGTCCCGTGTCTCAACAGACGTGAGCGGTCCTGCTCCCAGCAGCCCTCACCTGTGATTACACCCCAACCTTCTCAAGGACACACATCTCCAGTAATCTTTCGTTTTTCTGTCACCATTTAAATCCTAAAGAAATCCACTTTTGCTTCCAGCTATTACCCACTCTCTCAGCTCAATCTCTGCTTTCTCTCTTCCTGCTCTGTGAACTCCCTACTGAATGTCCTTTCCACATCACAAGATTTGCTTATATCAGGGGGGCCAGAGACCTGCATGCTGCTAAGTTCTATGGCCCATTTTCAGGCCTCGTTTTGTACAGAGCTCCCACAAATATATAAACTCTGCATACTTTCACACTGCTTTATCCCAGCATTTGTATTTCACTTTTCCTGAGGAAAAGCACTCACTAAGGAACATGTTACTGGAGCCTGTGTGTTTCCTGTGAAATGTGCAGAATTTATGGGGTATATAGAGCAGATGAGTCGATTGTTCAAATTTCAAGGAAAAAAAAAAGCTCTGCTCCTTTCCCTTCCTCTACTATATTGTTTAAAATCCAACTCTTCCTTTCTTTAGGATAGAACAGGCCAACCTTTAGGAAAAACCAGTGTTATCAAAGAGAAGTGGCAAAGCAGGTCTTTTTTTGCTATGTATGAGTTTTAAAGACAGAAAAAACTTTAAAAATAACTTCACTGCAAATTCTCATTGAAGGAGCTTATGGCCCTGTGGCAGTGCAGAGGATGACAGAGTGAAAGGCTGCTGGGCACCAGACTTCCCCTGGCACCCTATCGTAATGGTCTGTATTCTCTCAGTTAGATGAAGGTGCTGACAAGGAATCAAAGTCCTATTGGCCCTTTCTTGCTGCATAGTCCTTTTGCTGAAGGGCACCTGAACTCTGTGTAATGTGAGCTGAGAATTCAACCCCCAGGGATGCTTGTGTGTCGCAGACTTAGAGCAAGTAAAACTACGCTGTTTCCCAGTGGCCCACAATCAAGCGAAGCTATACTTGTCTTCTACCCTTTTCATGACAGTTATCCTTGGAGGCAGTCATGTGATTTCAAGGCTACATTTTTATTAATGATAAAGTAGCCTATTAAAATTTTATTGCTTAGGATTTTCTTAATAAGGGTAACATTTACCTTGCAAGTGTTCTTAGTTCAAGGTTTGGGGCTAGTAAGAAGGATATCTCCTCACAAAGAGGCTGATTTGAGATGAACGTGTATTACAAATGCTTCCCGTCCTAAAAGGCATCAAAGTTTCTGAACCCTGGTTCTAGTTCGCTTAAGTTTATGAACTTAGACATCGTAACCAAAGTATCTAACACTGAGTATCTCATTTATGATACTCTTTCTTCTTGTTCCAGGTTCTTTCTGATGTATCTGATTAATAAGGATGAAACAGAGCACACGGGTCAGGTGAGAAATGAATCACGGCCCTGTTAGACCTGCTTTTCTCGGTCTGGAGTAACACAGACTGTCTGTGCTAGTGACCATCTCTGTCTTGCATGCATTTTTCTGTCACTTCCAAACTTGACCTGGAGAAGTCCTGCTGGCAATACTTCCCAACACTCACTGACATTTTCTAAACAATCATGGTTACAACTTCAGAGGAGCTGGAGGTGGGAAGGAGAGTAGGCGGCTGTGACAAAACCCCAGAGACTCAGAGAGAGAAAAGACAGCATAGAAAGAAAGCGGTCTTGTGTGGGAGAGGGTAAGCAAGGAGATGTGTCAGGGACTCTGAAAAGAAAATGGTAAAGGCAGAGAACCAGGAGGAAAACAGTTATTCATGATTCAAACATCCTGGATTTGTAGAAAAACTACAGCTCCCACATTCAGCACGAGGAGAGGCAGCTGGAGCTCTGACCTTGGCTTCTTAGGAAATGTTCCCTCAATTTGCACTCATCTCTTCTCCCCCCAAGTCACATGACATGTTGGCCTATTGCTAGATCTTAAGCAGTTTTAGGGGCAATGTGCAGTATTTCAGGGGAGAGGCAGAGGGTGGATTTTGTGAACAGTGTGGATTGGGAATCAAAGATGCCTAGAGAGCTGCCTGCGGTGATCTAATAAGCAGCACCCTGTGTTTGCACCATTTCAGGAGTCTTACGTGTGGAAAATGTACCAAGAAAGGTGTTGGGACTTCTTCCCAGCTGGCGACTGCTTTCGAAAGCAATACGAAGATCAGCTGGGATAACCTGAATGAAAGAGCACCCCACTTTTAGACAGCTTCTGGTGAAAACAAAATCCCTCTTCTTAAAAACACGATGCTTTTCAAATGCTTCCCTTATAAGAAGTGTGTGTTAAAAATCTGTGATATCTGGGAACTGATTTGGCTTTCTGTGCCTAGTGGACATGGCCTATGGGTGATAAACTGTTGTTATTAAAGAATGGGCCAGAGAAGTATAGTCAAAACTTTAAGCACTGGGTGGGTGTCATACAGCAGTGTACCACCAGTGGCTCATCGTCTGAACTATGAAAAGTCATGTCAACTGCAGTCTAGTTTTTTCCATGGTACTTGCTAGTGCCTGTATCCAGAATCAGCTTGAAAAGCTTTAAGCAGTTAAAGAAATAGAAAACCAACACTTTGTTGACACTGACATATCGATTAAGTGCCTTAAAACCTCTTTAGATATAGCTATGCAAGTTTTATGTCGTGTTCCTAAGGACAGTTCCATCGTGGTGTTGATCTTCCTTTATGAAACTGCACTTGAAGGTTCTCCATATTAGAAGAAAAGTACTGTACTGAAAATTGAGAAAGACCTCAATCTTATGTCAAACTTGAGTGCTGCTTTATGGTCCCTGTAAGTAGAGGAGCTGCTCTGTTTAGGACGAAGTGCCCACTGCAATAAAGTAATTTGCACCGGTCCACAGTGTGGCCTCTTGTTCTAAAACCACAGTACCACTGGGGATAGGGACGGGTAGCAAGAGGGAAGAAGAGAATCAATCCATAGACCAGAAGGTGTTTATTTGACCAAATGCATGCCTTGGTGGTTGCATCTATTCCCTTACTAAGCAGCACCCACCATGCTGTAAACTCTGAAAGGTGGATGTGACATCCCCAGAACACAACGAGCTTCGCAAGTGTGCTCCTCCTGATGCTGTCACATAGAGCTAGGCCTGGGCTGGCCCTGCGCCCACCTTTGCCCTTAGAAGGTAACCACACTTTGCTTTAGGCAATCATGCTGTCCAGCCAGTCCTCCAGCTCTTTCTCAGTAACATTTTTTGATGTACTTGGCTGCTCAGGTCCTGCATTCTTTTCCTCAGTCACAGATGGCTCTGCAGGAACTACGGAAATAAAAGCCGTATTAACAACCTGGCGTTTCTCCCAACACTGCACATTAAAGCTGCCGAGAGCATGTTTCAGGATATACTGCTTTCCCCATACCAAGGGAATCGTTCTCACTACTGTTACCCCTAAGATGACACAATAATGTCTAAAAATAATGGGTTGAGATTTGCTCTTCTATTCATTCTGAAGGTGAATTTCCCTGCTGAATGCAGTATAGGGATGTGGCGATTGCATTAGGCCTCTCCACATCAAATGGACCACCAATTCACAAATTGTGAAATAGCAAAAAAGCAGCATGAAGCGCTGGCTGAGATAGTCGATTAAAAGGTCTGCTGCAAGGCTGAGGGCTGCAGTGCCTTGATGCTTTTATGTAGCCCCAGTCTTCATTCTGCGGACAGGAGCAACTTTAGGTACAAAGTGAGAGAAGCATCATCAGAAAGGTCAGCTCAGGGGGGAGCAGAGACTGTGGAGGGAATGATCAATGTCACACACTGAGGAGGACATGTGTGGATGTTCTCCCAAATGCCAGGATCAAGAAGACAGGAAAGCCATACCTTTTTCCTCTGGGGTCACCTGCCCATCTTTCTCAGATTCGAGGTCCTGAGATGTCTGGTCTGGTAGCACGCTATCTTCCTCTTCCACAGGCGCATCTAAATCCAACAACAGATCTAGTTCCTCTTCCAAATGGTCTGTGGCTGACTGCAATCGGGGAGTGGATTTCTGAGAAAGCCCCGAAAGACCCAGTCTTGAGCCATCTTTGCCAAGGGACTCAGGAAAGCCAGCAGCAGATCTTAGCTCAGAGAAGGGTACCCTTGATTGCATTCCTAGTCCCTTGCTGTCATCATTTCTCTTTGGTTTCACCTGAGGAAGCTCTAAAGGAACTGTGACCTGAAAGAAAAGTATAACAACTGAATTTTAAACTTGAGTCGTGCCATATTTGCTTAAATGGAAACAAAGCTCAGGTAATTCACTGCATCCAAACTGATGGAGCCGGGGTAAATGCAAAACTTTACAGCAACATGGCAGAACCGCGCCTCCCTTTCGACCTACCTCAGCTATGTGTGAACTAGGAGAGAGGGACTTACAAGGCCGGAATGCCAACCAGGCCTTAAGTCTGTTTGAATTTATGCAGGCATCTGTCACAAACAGAACAGATCGCTCATTGTCTTTACTATGTTAAGGTGCAGGAATGATTCCCCAAAAAGAAAAGACTGACTTTTGGCGACATTATCTGAATAAAAACTGCCAGACATGAACGGAAACAGATGAAACCATACAGCACTAGAAGCAGACAGAGCCTGACTGGCTTTAATTACTTTGCCCTGTATGTCATGCTTTAGTGAAAGCTAGACACTCAGCCCACGGGTGAGAAGCCTTCTAGAGGAAGGCTGGGGGCAGCAGGACTGACTGTGGCACTGACGTCCTGTTTTCTGCTTCATTTGCTAATAATGCTCCAGGGCTTTACAGCTGGCCCTGTAACCATAAACTGGACCGGATGTCCAGCCTTGTCACTTGCACCGGGCAAGGCTGAGATGTGGTTCTCTATGCCAATCCTATGACATTTAATTGATGCAGACTGGGTATCTAGAATGTTTGCTCATTTTTCACTTTCCAGATGAGTCTACTGTGCAAGCCTGGTTGAAAGCAGCTGCTCTCTTCTGTCCTCCCAGGCCAGATCTCACTGATGTTACCTTTGAAACACCTCATGATAAAGTCCACATCTTTGCCATCGCCCAGTCTACACCACCTCTCAGGTGTGCACACAGACTGACCACAAAGACCCACACCCTAATCCCACAGTCCATTTTCCATGCCTCACCCCAAGTGTTCACTGCTATCACTTTTGTTAGTGCAGAACTGGTTAGGTGGCTGTCCTTTGAATTCCAGCTCAAGTGTAACCTCAGTGCACCTGTCACTTCCTTAGGAAAGCCATTCCTAGCCACACCACAGTTCGCTATTATAAACTCACAGAACTTTAATAATTTGGTATGTATCTTTCCTAACAGAGTGAGCTCTAGGAATGCAGGAACCCCAGCTATCTGCTGACCACTGTGTCCCTAGGTACCTAGCACATAAATATTTTAAGTAGTTTCCACACATTACGTCTATCTTTCATTCAGTTCTTTAAAATGTTTCAAACATAAATCATAAAAGAATGAACAAAGTTTACAAGAAGGTCCCTCAAAGAAAACCCTCAGCCTTATGAGAGGAAGGGCTCAGGCCCAGGCTTCAGTTCTGAAGTGGACGCCTCCCCTCTGGAAGGTCTTCCACCTTAACCCATCCCAGCCTTCAGGCCAAGCAGAGTTTGTACCTGGATCAAGTCAGCAGCAACATTGAGTTTCAGTGAGAGAGGCAGTTCTTGTAGGGCTCGAACCAGTGACTCACTATCCACATAAAATGCAGAATTCTATACAACAAAGAAAAAGATCAGCAATGCTTGATTATGACCTTTTGGAAATGAAAGAGGTGAAAGAGTAACTATAAAAAATCATTTACTGGAGTGAGTTCTCATCCTCTCTCCACGTGAGGATCAACAAAACCAAAAGTGCCTTCTAAGGCCACCACTCCCTCTCTCAGGGAAGCCAGCCGGGGATCGGCCTCGGGTCAATCCTGCTTCTGCAGTTCCTGGCCAGCTGAGAGAAAATAAGTGCTTAGTGAAGTCTGGCTGGGCACCTACACCATATTCAGGAGAGGGAAAAAGCATCAGGCAGCAAGGTGTGCTGGTGGGCGACCCCCAGAAAGGAGCAGGTGTTGGGAACTTCCCTCCCCACTGCCAGCACCAACGTCTCCTCTGACTCTGTCCCGCTCGTGCAAACAAAAGCACATTGAAGTACTGACCTCATAAATTGACACAATTTTGGAAAACCATCCAGACAATCCCATAGTACCTAACAGCTATTTCTAGGTGTCCTGGCTGCCCAAGACAAGCAAACACCACCCACCCTCCATCTGCATGACTGTCTCAGGCTCAGCAAGCCCAGGTCTCATCCTCCTAGCACTGACACAAGTCTTGTAGTCTAATCTCTGCTCCATGGAAGGCCATCTCAAGTCACTGGGCTCACTGTGTCTATAGGCGGAGACATGGTCCTGGTGGCTCAAGCAGAGTCCACTACTAACTCCAGACCCGTGTGAGCCACTAATGTACACACAGCAGTGGTACATGGGTATCTGGATTTCAGCAGTCCTTCTGAAACAGTCCTGAACTGACAAGCTCTCAGATAAGCAACTCTGGCAGCACCAAAGTGGTCCTTCACCCTGGAAAGAAAAGGAATTTACATCTGGAAACAATAATGGATTTAAGAAACAGAATGGAGGTGGCATTATGGATGTGATGGGAAGTTGGCAGATGTCAGATAAAGGAGGAATTAGTGTGGAAGATGACTTTCAGGAGGCAGTCTCACAATCTTTGCTTGTAAGACTCACCACTGCACTGTTGGGCATGAAACAAAAGAGGACAAAGAAATGTGGAATCTTTGGCAGACCTCCATGTGTGACAGCAAGGCCTCGCTGTCTCAAAGATCGAGAGAAGGGGTTTCCAGTAGTAATGTGGAGACCTCCCTTGGGGTAAGCATTTGGGAGCGCAGCCTTCTGCTGGGCCCAGAAGGTCTTTCCCAACTGTGGTCGTGGTCAGTGGAGTTGTATGTCTAAGACTGAGGAGTGGCCCAGATGCATCCTCAATTCTACCCTCCTTTTTTGTTTTCGAGACAGAGTCTGGCCCAAAACTCGTGCTCCTCCTGACTCAGACTCCCAAGAGCTAGGATTACAGGTGTGTGACCCACAGATAAAACTAACCCACCTACAGTGTGCATGCTTAACTGGCAGCAGGAAGCAGGCTTAGCTGGGGGCCACCTCTCATTTCCCCAGACAGTATGCTTGAGCCCTAGAGTTGAGGAGCCTGGGGAAAGCCCCCAGTAATTCCCTGTGCATCTTGAAAGGAGTGAGTATCCCTGGCCTCCTCAGGTGAGAAGAAACTACACACAGCAAATAAAGCGCTTGCAGTTTATGGACTTGCTAAAGGATTTCTATTGTGTTTGTTCTTATTTTTACCCCTTTATCCTAACCGTAGAAGAGCTTGTTAAAACTATATGGGCAAAGGAACTGACACAGACTGACAAAATAATGAAAGAGTAGGGCTGGGGCAGGGCTCAAGTGGTAAAACATTTGCCTAGGAAGGGCAAAGCCCTAAGTCCAAAGCCCACTACTGCCAAAAGTCAAGCAAAAAAAGAAAGAAAGAAAAAGGAAGGCCAAATAGCAAAGTAATCAATTTTGATTACTGTGACAACTACAGAATTTTTACTTCACAACCGTCTATGAGAACTCACACACCTGGCCAGGTATAAAGGGAACTCCAACTTCAAGCACCTCTGTAACTCCAGTCCCCTGAAAACGCTCTGACCAGCGCAGGCAGCTGACAATAAGTGCTGCTTGCGTTAAGAGGACTTTTTCCCACCTGAGGACTCCATCTCCACAACAGGGAAAGGCAAGACAAACCCGTCTTACCTGCTTTGGACATGAAGTCTCACCATCCCATTCCTTCTCCTCAGCAAACCGAAACTGCGAGAAGGAGTCCCCTAGGAATAGGAGAAAAAATACAAATTTATGCATAAGCTAGAAGAACACGCAGTTTCTCTGTTTCCCTTTTGAAGCAAAGGTGCCACTTCTGAAGGGTTAACCTTCCCAAATTCAGTGATCCTACTCTGCAAGGTCTGTGTGTGGCAGGCACTGGAAATACTGGTGACAACACCATTCCATGTTCCATTCTATTCTGTGAGCCACCCCTCCACACGCTTAAAAAAGGGACAGCCAGCCACGCAGGCCTGAAGACGGCATGCCAATACCCATACACGGTGTGTTTCCATCTCATTTGCTCCATGTACACCAGGAAGCTTATACTTATGATTTTGGGGGTGGGCAAGGCAGAAAAGGGAGGGGAAAAATGGGACTGAAAAAAAAACATAACAGACTATCTCTGAGGAGAAGTCAGTGACCTCCACTATCACCCCCAAAAAATCACTTCATCAGAATGCTGACCTCAGCAGATCATGAAGTGAACCAGGGCACTCTGCTCTGAGCTCCTGGAATACACGAGTGTGACGACAACGCTGCCCAGCAAACTGTCACAAGGCTCACTTTGTCAGTATGTGTGCGTCCACTCAATTGCATCCACAGCAGTTCATTCTATATGTGAAGAATTCTTTCTCTGCCTAGCCTTCACGGTTCCAAAACTGGATCTGGCTCACTAACCTACACATCCCTTCTACTTCCTGCAGTCAGCCTCTTCCACATTCCAAACACGCTTCCTACTCATTCCATTCTCTCATTTCTTAGCCTTCCCTTGTCTGGAAGACCCGTGTCTCTTCCCACTCATCGCCTACACAGACTTTAAGACTCAAGTACAGCCTAACCCTCCCAGGTGGTCTGACCTCAGAGTTTATTCTTTTCTTCTAAACTAATGGGGTGGGGGAGAACTCAACAATTAAGAGTTGAAAAGATAAATTAGAACCCACCTCCAGTTCCTTAATGCTCAAAGCACGTGGTTACAACATTAGTACAGTAAGACTGAGTGCACAGCAAAGGAACCAAGGAAAGTAAAATCTCTTCTCTGACTCACTGGTAAATTGATTCAGTCCCTTGAAATCATGGGTTCTCCATAATGCAACTGGTTAAGATCTTGGATGTGAACGTGTTTGTGTGCATGTATTTACTGTGATTTTTGTGTATTCTTAATGAATTAATATCCATGTAACATTAATAATTTTTAAAGGGCCACAGTAAGGCCACAAAAAAACAAATTCTAAAACTTACCAGTCATATAAGCCATACTCACTTGTGATAGTAAGAAAAAGAAATTAATCAGAAGAAACCAAACTGCTGAGTTAGAATACAGAAGAGCAATAAGTACAAATCTATCCATAAGATGTGAGTAAAGATGTTCTCAGAGAAGCTGAAGTCTTAAATATGTTCATTACTAAACAAAATAACAATAAGATAGTAATCAATTGGAGAAGCTTGTGGGGGAAAAAAAAAACTAACTTTTTTTGCTGGGAGGTAGGGGCAGTGCTTGGATCAAACCCAGAACCTTGTGCATGCTACACAAACCCTACACCCTAACCTCAATTTCTTTTTTCACTAACAGACCATTCTTCTTATTTAAATAACTGAAAACCAGGAGGCTTATGCTTGAAAATATAAACTAATTCCACTGTCATCTAACTGCTTTTCAAAGGGCAGTCAGCACACATAAAGAAGAACTGAGAAACGGCAACACTGGACAAAAGGAGACGAAAACAGGACAAGTCAGAGACAGAGCAGTCATGCCCAAAAAACTTAGACATACTCATGTGCCTGGAAAACCCAGAAATACTAATGTAACTGAAAACAAAGGAATGGGTGAGAGGCTCAGGAAGCAATCAGGTTCTAAAATTTATGCTAAAATAGCTCTCTCAAACAAAATCCAGTTAGAAAGCAAAATGGAAAGACATATCTGATTCAAAATGGCAAAATATCCACAGAAGCTTTAGGAATTAACCAGAAATGAACTAATATTAAAAGCTAACAAGGAAGATGAAAAATTCAGCACAAAGATACCATTTCTGCCTGATTTAATCTGCAAACTCAATTCAAATCCCCAAAAGATTTAACTTGTCTAAATTACTAAACTTCCATGTTTTTAAAATATGAAAAACTAAGGTGCTTTTTTAAAAAGGATGAAGAAATTGTTTTATTGACTATGAAAATGTGTTCAAAAGCCTCAATGACCTACAGCCAGCATTATACTTAACGTAGAAACACTGAAACCATTCCCTCTAAAATCAGGGAACAGACAAGGATACCCACTATCTCCAACTCCTATTCAACATAGTACTGGAATTCCTAGCCAGAGCAATTAGGCAAGAAGGAATAAAAGGAATACAAATAGGTAAAGAAACTGTCAAAATATCCCTATTTGCAGACGACATGATCCTATACATTAAAGACCCAAAAAACTCTACTCAGAAGCTTCTAGACATCATGAATAGCTATAGGAAGGTAGCAGGATATAAAATCAACATAGAAAAATCATTAGCATTTCTATACACTAACAATGAGCAAACTGAAAAAGAATGTATGAAAACAATTCCATTTACAATAGCCTCAAACAAAATCAAATACCTAGGTATAAACCTAACAAAAGATGTAAAAGACCTCTACAAGGAAAACTATACACTTCTGAAGAAAGAGATTGAGGAAGACTATAGAAAGTGGAGAGATCTCCCATGCTCATGGATTGGTAGAATCAACATACTAAAAATGTCTACACTCCCAAAAGTAATCGTCTAATGCAATTCCCATCAAAATTCCAATGACATTCATTAAAGAGATTGAAAAATCTACCATTAAATTTATATGGAAACACAGGAAGCCACGAATAGCCAAGGCAATACTCAGTCAAAAGAACAATGCAGGAGGTATCACAATACCTGACTTCAAACTATATTACAAAGCATAGCAATAAAAACAGCATGGGACTGGCACAAAAACAGACATGAAGACCAGTGGAACAGAATAGAGGACCCAGATATGAACCCACAAAACTATACCCAACTTGTCTTTGACAAAGGAGCTAAAATTATATGATGGAGAAATAGCAGCCTCTTCAACAAAAACTGCTGGGAAAACTGGTTAGCAGTCTGCAAAACACTGAAACTAGATCCATGTATATCACCCTATACCAAGATTAACTCAAAATGGATCAAGGATCTTAATATCAGACCACAAACTCTAAAGTTGATACAGGAAAGAGTAGGAAATACTCTGGAGTTAGTAGGTGTAGGTAAGAACTTTCTCAACGAAACCCCAGCAGCACAGCAACTAAGAGATAGCATAGATAAATGGGACCTCATAAAACTAAAAAGCTTCTGTTCATCAAAAGAAATTGTCTCTAAACTGAAGAGAACACCCACAGAGTGGGAGAAAATATTTGCCAGCTTTACATCAGACAAAGGACTGATAACCAGAATATATAGGGAACTTAAAAAACTAAATTCTCCCAAAACTAATGAACCAATAAAGAAATGGGCATGTGAACTAAACAGACTTTCTCAAAAGAAGAAATTCAAATGGCCAAAAAACACATGAAAAAATGCTCACCATCTCTAGCAATAAAGGAAATGCAAATTAAAACCACGCTAAGATTCCACCTCACCCCTGTTAGAATAGCCATCATCAGCAACACCACCAACAACAGGTGTTGGCGAGGATGCGGGGAAAAAGGAACCCTCTTACACTGTTGGTGGGAATGTAAACTAGTACAACCACTCTGGAAAAAAATTTGGAGGCTACTTAAAAAGCTAGACATTGATCTACCATTTGATCCAGCAATACCACTCTTGGGGATATACCCAAAAGACTGTGACACAGGTTACTCCAGAGGCACCTGCACACCCATGTTTATTGCAGCACTATTCACAATAGCCAAGTTATGGAAACAGCCAAGATGCCCCAGCACTGACGAATGGATTAAGAAAATGTGGTATCTATACACAATGGAATTTTATGCAGCCATGAAGAAGAACGAAATGTTATCATTCGCTGGTAAATGGATGGAATTGGAGAACATCATTCTGAGTGAGGTTAGCCTGGCCCAAAAGACCAAAAATCGTATGTTCTCCCTCATATGTGGACATTAGATCAAGGGCAAACACAACAAGGGGATTGGACTTTGAGCACATGATAAAAGCGAGAGCACACAAGGGAGGGGTGAGGATAGGTAAGACACCTAAAAAATTAGCTAGCATTTGTTGCCCTTAACGCAGAGAAACTAAAGCAGATACCTTAAAGCAACTGAGGCCAATAGGAAAAGGGGAACAGGTACTAGAGAAAAGGTTAGATCAAAAAGAATTAACTTAGAAGGTAACACACATGCATAGGAAATCAATGCAAGTCAACTCCCTGTATAGCTATCCTTATCTCAACTAGCAAAAACCCTTGTTCCTTCCTGTTATTGCTTATACTCTCTCTACAACAAAATTAGAGATAAGGGCAAAATAGTTTCTGCTGGGTATTGAGGGGCTGGGGGGGGAGAGGAAGAGGGTGGAGTGGGTGGTAAGGGAGGGGGTGAGGGCAGGGGGAGAAATGACCCAAGCCTTGTATGCACATATGAATAATAAAACAATAAAAATTTTTTAAAAAAGCCTCAATGAATAAAATAGACCAGTAAAACAGAAGGGAGCCTAGGCTCGGGTACACGGGTGTTTGGAGACCAGAGCATGTGGCTATTCACATGGCAAATTCCACTACATGCCTCAATCCTGTGTCCATACACAAAAATATATTCTGTATGGATCAAAGGTTTTCATGCACAAAAGGAGGCCTATGAGCATAACACTATTATAAAAACCAAGGCAGGCTGAGTTTTTATTATATCTTGAATTCAGAGGTACATAAATTAGATATTGCAAACTGAAAAATACACAAAAATGAAAATCTGTATGATAAAAAATCATAAACTCAAAAGATGACACAGACAAGAAACATTTGTAGCACGCATGGACATGTAGCTGATGTCTAACATGTAATCTGTCAGAGTAAA